TTACCTACCTTGTACGCTGTGCACACTGTACACCACTCTTACTCTTGCTACTTAAGTGCTCATACCATAAGCAGCTAGCTGTCGGAGCCCATTCAACAAAGGCTTTAATAAAAGCTATTTTTTAAAAGTATGTTAATATAGAGGCTAAGGCTAAGGCTAATAATAATAACATTACCTAAAAGCCTACGCAACACAAGTTACCTAGTAGTAACTATTATAATAAAAGCTTTAAAAAGACTTTTTTTATTAACATAAGCCTTCTTACTAGCAGCTGCTTATATAAAAAGCAGTAGAAAATAATAGAGTTACAGTAGTACTATAATAGCTACTATAAAGACATTACTATAGCTAATAATAACAGCCCTTTGTTTACTAACTCTCTTACTTAGTAAGAACAAGTTAGACAACTTTTTTACTTTATACTATATAAAATTACTTTTAACTTCTTATTTATTCCTTTTATAAGCTGTAATTATAAAAGGTCCTTTTTTAAAAGTAAAAGGACTATTACTTATAATAAAAATAAGCTTTTTAGTTTAATAATTAAGGCTTTCTAACTATAGAAAAACTAGCTCTAGCAAGGTTATATTTACAGTAAAATAGGGGACTTAGTAGACTATATATGCTGTAACGTCTTACAAGCTATTAAAATATAGGAGGATTGTAAGCTGTAACAGTTACGCCCTATAAGTGGATTTAAATTCTCTCTTTATGTTAAAATGTACTAACAAACTAAGAAGTTACAGCCTAAAAAACGGCGAGTTGAAACGTATTACGTACGGTTAGGAACGCTGAATCTCCGCTCATATTATCGACCAACTGACCTCCACCCATTTCCTCTTTTAATTAAGCCATATGCGCTATTTGTACGCAATACTACGTCCAGCTTAACCTCGTCTCACCTTTCCACCTAAATCCCATTAACCAGTCCAACTCTAGTGGTGCATAAAGAACAATCCTGGCCATAAATTTCAGTCAGCTTTGCGCGCAAGGCAGCCTTAGTGGCAGTCTGACGATAAGGCCCTGAAGTAGGCCACACGCAAGTCGATTCTCGTGCCCGAGAAATGGGCCGCCCGGATACGCAGCCTAGAACTGGGCCAGCGCAAAATGGTTGCGTGAGCTGTTCTGTACGTCCTGTGCTGTATATTTGAATTATCTTTGTTAAGAGATTTCGCGGTTGTAAGGGGCCTTCTTTAATTCTCCCTCGGCCTTATATAAAGAAGCAGGGGCCTGCTGCGAGTAGCTAGGAACAATTTCTAGCATTGACGAGCGAACCGCTCATTTCCTACTTAATGCTTGGGACATATTGGCTCCACCTCGGGACCTTGAATGCGTGATCATCCAGATAGAACAGGTTTATAAAACATTCCGCTACCAGAAAAGTCCTCGCGGCAAGATAGCAAGTTCCAGTAACTAGGACATAGAACATACTGTAAGCTTGGAGTAGGTCTACTCCAACCTGAAAAGTTTTTCCTATCATTTCGTGCAAAGTCTTTTCCCAGCCTTTTTCTGGTCGCTTGCGTCTACGTTTCTTCTCCCTGATTTTCTCCCCCAACTTGCTCCATTGTTTCGTCATAAAACGCGTAAATTGCTTGACGTAGATTCCTTGTATGTATATGGTGATCAGAGGAGCAGATCCTATAATCACGAAGCCTGATACCTTCCACAGAATCTCCTCGGCTGGGCTCTTAAACGGCGCGTACCATGCTAGCTGGTGCATGCTACCATAGAAAAAGCCAGAAGCCCAGAAGGCAATCCAAAACGGGATGTGTCTTTTGCTGAATTGTTTGAGGTCTAAGTATCTGGAAGGCCAATTTTCAGCTCGGTCAACGAGAAGGTCCTGAAGGGCGAGAAGATCGAATCTATGGTCGGAGTCATCTTTACGAAAGTCTATAAAGCCCTCGGTACTTCTAAGCTGATATTCTGAGACAGCTGTTGAAGCCTCTTTCCAACGTATCAGGTCGGTATTGCCCAAAAGGACGTAAGTCTTATCTTGCGGCGATTCATTGTCTCCTTGACGCACTGCTACTTCCTCAGTGACTTGACCTTCTACTAGTTCCTGTACATCCTGGCCTACAACTTGTTGCGCATTCTCTTGTACTTCGTCAGTTCCCTCTATTTCATGTGCTCCTTGTGCTTCGTCGTCTTCCTCATTGCGCAAACCAAACCATTGCAGTTTGTCGGTATCTCGTGGTATTGGGAATTCGAAACGAAATCCGAACAGAGTCTGTCCTCTGTATAGAATGGAATAAGACGCGAGGACTGCAGCACCCGAAGCTTCGGCGGATTCATTTGCTTTGCGTGCTGGAATTTTGTGCCGAACACGAACGGCGTCAATGTCGTTGCGGTCTTCATTTGCGCTAGCGCTATCGAATCTAACGCGACGCTCCCGACTATTTTCAAACTGATATCTAAACAAATCCAGTTCTCGAGGAGCTCGATTGCATTTTGTCGCCATGGAAAAGAGGGCCACTAGGCCGCGATTATCCGCTATAGAGATAAGAGTCGGTTCTTGTACATCTAAAGGTTTTGACCACCAAAACCCGTATACCATCAGAGCACAAACGCAGTGAGCGAAAGTGTTTAACTCCAGGAGCGATATTGTATATCCCGTTGCCATACGGAAGATGGTAGAGATAAGAAAGCCACCGGCTTGGATACATAAAATAAGTTTCTTTAGGCCGTCGGCTTTACTCTTGTCAACGATCTCTTCTTCGCTTAAATCTGGGATACTGTTGGGGTTACAATTGGCTAGAAGGGTAAGTCCAGAGATTGTAATAGTTTGTCGGGCTGGGCTTCCCCGCAAAAAGTTTTGCTCCAGATTTTCGGTTGAGAATGCAAAACCTCCCATGATCGCATAAAGGCTATGGGTGTTCGTCCACTTGTGGTGTCTTATTGTTTCTTCTGGACTTTCTGTATCATCATTTTGGACTACAGGGTCCGGTTCGTCTTCCTTTAGGTGATACATCTATTGACATTAGTCACGTAAATCTACAAAGAGCCGATCGCAGAAGCAATAGTTCTTACATACCCTAATGATATGATCCCCGTTTGTATTGATGTCGGAACACATCGGGCTGAGGTGGGATGGGGTAGGTGAGAAATGTCGATAAATTGAATATGGCAATCCCACGGATGCTTTAAAAGACTTACAAACCCCTATCCGCAGCCTTTCTAGAGTCTTTGTCACGCCTAAAAGGACTGTAGAAGGCATCTCTTGTTTTAATGCCAGCCTCATATCTTTCGTCAGGTTCTTTGCAGCTCGATTTTGTGCCTAGGCGGTGAACGCAAGCTGTGCGAGAGTCAGTTACGAGTAGGAGTCAAGCCCAAGCGTTCAGACTCTTCTACCATCTCAGGTGCTAGAAGCCCCAGAATAAGCCACCCTACTTTGCGGAGACGTTGAGCAGTTGTGCCCGTATATTCGGGCAAGTTAAGATACATAGCAGTCCAGACGCAGAGCAGCATCGTGACAATACAACTCGACAAAATAGACCAAGTCCCCCGCACTTCTGGCTCCGGTTGCCAACCGACAGGCTGAAATCCACCAGTTTGGTTACGGAAGATATTGTATATACTAAAGTTCATGACGAGATCTATAATAGTTGACGACGTAGAGAAGAATGATGGCGTGAGATATTAGAAAATCGTAAAGAAGTCTAAAAACGGCAAGCTAGGAGTCTGCTGGTCTTTAAAGCTAGACGGAGAATTCCGGTGGCTGCTTGCAAACTAAATTTCGAGACGAAAGCTTTTCCAGCTCACCTTTCAGCTCTTCCGGATGCGGAAAGTTTGCTGAGTATGATGAGAAAAAGCAAGCCTGCTTAAAACAACATTGCAGAGCCCGAGTAACAGCTGCCCAGCATTAGTATAGCATGCCATTTTGCGGAGTAGGATACACACTACAACTACAATATTCTTATCTGTGACTCAGTTAAGTTCTTTTAATAGAGGTAGTATTGGAGAGCGCCTTGAATGAGGGTGAGACCAACCTCAAACAGGCATATGATACGCAAGGTTAGGTTTGCATGTTTATATTGTTAATTAACATAGTGTTGCATCTACCGTAAAGAAGGTGCTAAAGTAACCAGTGCTAAGCCGTCCTCAGTAGTACCTTCCTGCAGGTAGAGGTTCTATAAATTCTATGAAGACTGCTTACTAAGGCCTGTCAGATCTTCACACAAATTTGTGACAACTTTTAAAAACATTATAGGATTCTTTTTGTCCCTCCTTCCGCCATTGAACTTCCTTCTCAATATGGCAGTCGCCCGACGTCATTGGTACAGAAGTAATCTGGCTTCAGACACCTTCCGCGATTTGAACTTTCGATGGAAAAGAACTACCATGCAGCAGAAGATGCGGAGAGTATGTAATTGTAATGGGCCATATATATATATGTGTGTGTGTCAAGAACTGGGTCACTGAACAGGGGAGTGGCCCGAATCTGGGACGCCGATTATCCTAGATTTGGGCCAATACGTACTTAGCTTGCTCAGGCTGCCAAGACCTGCTCAGGATTGTATAAGCTTAGGTTACTTAGTCACTGCTCAGTTTTATATCTATGTATGCTCAGGTTTGAAAGCGGAAGTAGACTTTGGTGGAATCAGTTTTCCCCTAAGAGTATATCCCGTATTCTCTATCAAAGGACATTCGAACCACAGTAGAAGATCTACAACCTCCTAGCTCTCTAGCTTGCAGGAAAATACAGGGCGCTATGTCCGTTAAGGATTGGGTGCGGACATGGTCCTTGTGAGAGCGGGACCTTGAGCCCATCCGACCAGGTCATGAGTGCATTCTTACTAAGCTCGTCGCGCCTTGTGGGATTTAAGCATTTCCTGGAGTCGTGGTATTAATTGCTCAAGGGAAACTTAAATATTTTTGAAAACACAATGCCTGATGATATACAAATTGGACTGTATATTTAGGTGGGCATGGGTAGGTAGATGGTGACGAAAGGGATCTGCACGTTAAGTGATGGCGCAAGCTAGTCCCAAAAAGGCAACAACCTCGGGACGGGATAAGGTTACATGCAAATATGTTCATTGGCTCCACGTTCGTTCACTCAACTTTGAAAGCAAACATGTAAACTGCAATACCATCAGTTCCATGCTCAACACCGCTATGCTACTAATTTAAACCAAACTCCAAGACTTCCAGAAATGCTACCCATTTTGTTGTCCATGCGTTTTCATCGTTAGCCCTCCATTTCCTAAACATCAAATCCGATTACACTCAACTACCCGCTCACAGAGCTACCCCTAATGTCTTTTTCTGCGCTATTCGATGCCTCTCTAACCTGGATGCTTTAATGCATAATCCGCCGCCTCCTCCCATTATCAACACTAACCGTGTTATCCGGCCCAATACTAATGCTCAAACTACTATCCTCATCCTCACTCCCTGCATCTCGCCCACCCCCACCTCTCCGCCTTAACGCCGCACCTTGGGATTTACTCCTCTCGGGTCGAATAACGAGCCAAGTCGCCCCGCCATCCGGATCTTCTTGTTGACTGAGCTGGAGCTGTGGTGTATTTCTTCCCCTCGTTTTAGGTGACTTCGGGGGCGGTGGGGGCGTGAAGAGGGTGAGGAATTTTGTGGTTTTAAGGGGGAGGCCGGTGATGGCGCTTGGAAGTGGAAGGGATTCGATGAGGGTTGTTTTAGAGAGGGGGAGGGTGGAGAGGAGGGCCGAAGGAAGGTCCGCGGGAGAGCAGGCGAGGATTATGTGGCGGAGGTGGGTGTTGGAAGCGTAGAACGAGAGGTTTTCTAAGACACGGTTAGTCAAATATCTTAAACTCCATCACCTAAGAACATGATAGGAAGATGGGTGGATGGCGATAACAAGAAACAGAGAAGCATACCTCTAACCTTCCTACCCGAACCGCCCTCCTTCCCAATCCCAACATCCACCCAATCAAAACTACTTATCCTCCCACAAAACCCCGTCGAACAAGCCCTCAGCTGTCCCAAATTCCTCACCTTCCCCTCTCTTACGAGATAATTTGCCATTCCCTCCAGATTTGCATACACTCGAACGACAATATCCAGGGTATCAGCATCTTCGTACAGAGGCCGAAGATATTCCCGTAATCGGATGAGGAGTTCATCAGCCAAAGCTTCTCCCCCTTGCATCCGACGCGTTATATATTTGTCTTGGAAGAGGAAACCTTCGGCATCGGCGTCTATGAGGACGAGGACGAAAGGTCGTCGGGCCTGTGAATGAGTCAGAGCGAGGCTCAAGATACTTAGGAAGCTTGTTTGAAGGTGTGTTCTGACCTGTCTCGCAACCAAGGCATTATTTCGCTCGTTCGCTTCCACGACCTCAGCTTGCAGCGTGCGACGGACATTTTGCTCAGACTGAAGGTCCAACTCAGTTTGTATGAGCTTTGCTTCGGTTTTCTCGAGCTTGTCAAGTAATTCCTACAATAATGAACGCGTCAGTGATTTCCCTCGAAACCTCAAAACTTATTAACAGAATGACTCTTGTCGCCCAACGCACGTACCTCAATCAACTCATGTCTCCTCTCCTCCAAAATCCTAAACTGGGCCAACCTCTCCCTGTATGATAGCGGCGGGGGAGGGGGAGGCGGGGGAGCAACAACAACAGCCTGTTCTGCCATCTTTGACGACAATTTCTTGCTGGTGTGGAATTTAAAACAACAACAATTTTTCTCCCTCTTTGTTTTGGGTAGCGGGTCTTGGGCTCGTATCCAGTGCTCTGGCTTGCATGCCTGGGAAAGCGCTGTGCGTGCGGTGGCCGGGTGATGATTCGGATGCTCAACGTAGCGGCCGTTGATTGGTTCGAGTACGCGAGAACATCCGTCTGAGTGGGCGCCTTGACGTGAGATCTCACCGGATATAGAGGCGGTGAAATGTGCGGCGGAGGATGTTGGCTGGCAGATGGATGCAGATGCAGAGTGGTAAGGTGGAGCGAGCCGCGTTTGGTGAGCGAAAGCGTGTGGAGATGCGGATGGTTGAAAGAGCAGGGCGGGCACTCTCTTCAAGGCGGTAAGACATGGAAAGAACTAAAAGTGGAGGTGCTTCCAAGCGAGTTTCGTATTGGTTTCAATTAGAAAAGTTGCGATTTCATAAATGTGCAAATAAATAAATCAATGGCTGGTCTGGACAAGTGAAAAACAAGATTTTTTGACTGTTTACTAGGTGATAAAGCAGGTATGAATGGGTATAATCTAATTTGCAACGGCTAACGATAACAGCCTCGATGAATAGACTAACATACGAGCGTTTAGAATATTTATGTGAAATGCCGAGTGTTTACAGAGTACATAGTTTCCCTCACTGTTCGTCGAGTGGCTTGGGCCGTGAACTCAGGTCTGCGAGCGAAACTCGAGTGGTTGCCATCACCCTCCGCGATCTCGAACCTATGTCCAATCGCTGCAGTTAACACCGCTTCCTGCATCTTTCGTTGGGACAGCCTGATTGTTGTCCGCCATCAAATACACACTAGGGATAATTCGTCAAGCAGCATAAGTGACTATGGACAAGAAAGCCTTCCAAGCAGGGTTTCGAAGCTGCTTGGGGTTACTAGCCCCTACTGCCAACTGAGTGTGCATTCGTTGTAATATTACGGGAGAGTATCTATGGAATAGCAAAGGCCGGCGTCTGTCGTTGTGTGCCGTGAATCGAACGACTTCCCTCCGGTGGCTTCCCAAATGTAATGACCTGTATTCAAAACAATAGCACTGAGAGAAACGAGCTTCATAACGCCACCCTTGAGACCTGAGACTGACGGTAAATCCTACCAAGCCTCTGGCTTGCTTCGGATCCGACGGCGCCTGGTAGGGGTGGACGGTCAAAATGACTCCTGACCCAATTCAATATGTTCGAGAAGTACGTTGTGAATGGCGACAACGTCATCGTTCCGGGGGGTTCCTTCCTTAGCTCGGAGCCTACCGTGGGAAGTGAAACGTTTACCCTCGTATAACCTTCTCGGCGAGAAGCTTGGTAGTCGGTGAAAATAGTTAGTCACATGCCATCCGGTCAGTACAAACATCAGCACCTGGGTTTGGGTAGCCATTTTTGGCCAGTGGAAAGGATCTTAAAGGTAAGTATCCTCAGTAAATCTGAGGTAGAAGAACGATTGGGAGGACTGGAAGGAATAGTATATACAAGGTATGGGTGCGAGAATATAAGTTTATCATGCGGAGCGCAGCGCTAGTACCACGAGTAAATCAATCAATATTGCGGGGAAACGGGTAAGGAAGTCCAAGTGGAGTAAGGGAACAAGACGATGGAGATCATTTTCCAGGCAACGAATACTAGTAGAATGAGGTGAGCTTTAGCCCTCGAGGAAGCACTGAATGCTCGTGTCAGGGTGGTTGAAAAGTAGAAGTGCTTTTCACTAATTACTGGAAGGAGAGTTGAATTTTCTGTATGATAACGTCACGCTAGGTTCTTACCTAATTCAGCGATTTCGGCCTTATTAGCATTCGACAACATGTCTCTATCGCTGCGAGTTTGAAAAGCACAGAAATAATGCTGAAACAGGCTTGGAGAAGTATCGGCGCCAATTTGTCCAATCGGCACTATCATACTGGCTTTATCGGTGATTAGATATGACTTTTGGATCACAGGTGTCTGCAACCACGGGGGGGGACGGCAGGGAGACCGGTTGGACTGAAGTGGCGTCTCCGAATCTGGCTTTCTGCAGAACATCTCCGACTCACTAGCCTAACCGCGCGGCTTGGAATTTGAGTGATGGAAAATCAAAGGGCATGATGACACGAGAGCTGAAGGACGGGGAACCTTGATAAAGGAGGTGCAGCGGTCAAAAGAAGTGGAGAAACTGAACCCGGCCGTTGAAATGTCGGAGTCGGTTCCACCAGCACGGACTAAGTCGCACGTGGTGGGGCTTGGCATCGCAAGCGGCGGCGTTCCGCTCCAACTTCACTTCATGCGATAATATGCCCATAATCGACTTCCTCAAAAGCCAATACTGCTCATATTGCTTGGGCGAATCGCCATAAGGCCGCAATGACTAGCACGCGGATGACGCGTCCTGGAGAACCGGTCTTTCCAATGCTCGCTAACCGCAAGGAGTTCTCCACACAGCAAACCGCTCCACACATAGCAGAGCGGTCCTCAAAGTAAAGTACATTCTGCCTTGCTCAGTGGTAGCCACCATCTTCTCGGTTCGGTCCATCCCACCCTCCCGTCACGGGCTATCATGCAACCTCCAAGCGATAAGGTCCCATTGGACGGTCGGCCGCGCGCCATGCAGGCTGCACGAGCTTCCACATGAGGCAGATTGAGCGTTAGAGGACCAACGCAAAATCAGGCGATCAGTGAACTCGAGCCTTTATTGCGGCGCAGAGTTGAGCGCACATCAGACATTGGCGCGTACCACTTGGCCGCGCAAGGAAAGCAAGTCCGAGGGCGACACAGAATACGACAACGGGACATGACAGTCGCAAGACAAGTACAGAAAAAAACCAGGAAACAGACGTGAGAACTCAAGATAACGTTTTGGCGGCTCGGTCAGCGCGATGCGGGCTTTGCGACTCCACGTGTGGCCCCTGCTCTGAGCGTCTGGCGTCTATTCTTGGTCTTGATGTCGGAGAGATATATTGCGTAGGATTTAGACAGCAGGGCACTCCTCCACACACCCAAATGAATCGTCCCGTGTGTCTCGCAGAAGACCAACTCAATTGGCCTGTTGGCGAGTGAGGTGGTCCTGCGAGTCAAAGTTGTCTTTTGCCGGCCGGTCTTGCCTTCCCTCGTTACCGGCTGTACGGTGGGAGTCGACCAGGGGCCCCGCGCTGGCCTCAATGCACATCTTATGTGACCTTAACTAACATCGTGGGAGGATCAAAGCCTTCTCCTTCTTGCGATTTTTCTTTCGCGCTGCGTGCGTTTCAGCCCAGCACCATGTTCTCGTCGTCTAACAATACCGAAGACGAAGCTTTCGACAGCTCCGGCCCTTCGCTTGAAATAGACGTAAGTATAGAAGCCCTTGTCTCTTCCTTCCTTGCTTTTTGCGGCTGCAATGAACCGCGGCTGACGGCCAATTCTTGGCATAGAGTGATGAACGGGATTCGGCCTTTGGCGACACTGATTCCACGTACGTACTTGAAGGCCTCAAGCCCCACTGTGCGACCAAAATGACTGACCTGGATCCGTGTCACTAGGCTTACTATGTCCGTCACTGAGTCTGTCTACGACTACAAGTACGAGAACGGGCGTAGGTATCATGCGTATTCCGAGGGCAGTAGGTTTCCTCTTCTCGCTCGTGGGTATCCTGAGGCTGACACGAGATAAGAATATCCCGTTCCGAACGATGAGGTATATCTTAGAACTTAGCACGTGCTGCGGGCCTCGGTGATGCTGACTTTGCGATCTTCAGGTAGAGAAAGACAGGCTTGGTAAGCAGTACCAGTCCCAAAGATCTTTTCTGTGGGATCTCACGCCAGTCTCAGACCTACAACACCATGCTTTTCGCTTGACGCTAGATGGGGCTCTATATCGTGCGCCGATCCCACAAGATGTTCAAAACGTCCTGGACGTTGGAACGGGAACCGGTATATGGGCGATAGAATTCGCAGAGGAGCATCCATCTGCACAAGTTCTGGGGACGGATCTTAGGCATGTGCGCACCTGATATGTGACGAAACAGCAGCTAATAATTAGCAGTCCTATCCAGCCTACAGAGTTCGTTCATCTAGGAACCAATTACGCAAGCTTTCCCACTAACCTTCAAGCAGAGTCCCTCCAAACTGCAGCTTCCTAGTTGACGACTGCGACAAAGACTGGGTGTTTCGTGACCAGTTTGACTTCATTCATACACGAGCCATGGTAGCCGCCATAAAGGACTGGGACCGGTTCCTTGGGCAGGGTTATGCGTGAATAAACCTCCACCAATGCATACTATTTCACTGGCTGACTCTCCTAGAAATCTCAAACCCGGAGGATATCTCGAACTTCAAGAGATCACGTTTCCAGCTCTGTGTACTGATTCTTCAATGACACCAGAGACATCGCCGCTCCTCCGATGGTCCGCTCTCTTCACAGAAGCTGCCGACATGATTGGACTGGATGCATCAGGCCCGCTTAAGCTCGGTCCGAAGCTTCGATCCGCTGGTTTCGTTGATATTCACGCTAAACAGTACAAGTGGCCTGTTGGGCGCTGGGCCAAGGGCGATAAAATGAAGCTACTTGGGAGGTTTGTCATGGAGGATCTAATGGACTGGTTGCCCAGCAGCGCGATGGGTCTTTTCACTCGTGTGCTGAAGTGGAGTCGGGAAGAAGTCGAACTGTTCTTATCTACGGTAAGGAGAGAATTAAAAGAGGAAAAATCGCGTCACTTCTATGCGAACGTGTGAGATTTCTTCCCATCTTACTAAACTAGACAACTGTATCTGACCCCCTGTAGGATTGTGTGGTATGCGCAGAAGCCTCAGGCTACGGGATCGGTAAACTTTGATCAAGATGTAGTGAAAGAGGAGGAGCAGCTGGAGTCAGATGAAGAAAGAAGTGTCCGTTCGAGGAATACCAACACCGACGCCACTACGGGAGCCCAACAAGTCCAATCCCCTGGAGCTCTTGCAGATACCGCTGCTGGTCTCTCTCTTACCTCTCCCCCACCTGAGGGGCCTAGGGAAAGTGTTTTGTCGACGAAGCCTCAAGTCAAGCCCCCAAGCTTCATTGACGCATTTAAGGATTCGGTTCTCTCGCTTGCAGCGGAAGCAACCGCTCATATAGCCACTGCGGATACGAGTAGAGAGCCCGAAACGGAGTCTGAACTCGGTCCGAAAGGTGAGGCTAGACAGGTTGGGACATCCAACATCTGCGATACGTCGCCGGAGCCGGGCGTGATAAGAGAATGTGGTTCGAATTGTCCAAGCACGGCCATGCCAGTCACATCTGAACCAACCCCAGTAGCCCAGGTCGAATTGGTCAAGACTGAGGAGAGTCTATCGGCAACAGAGGGCCCAAACTCTTCTGGATTTGTTGTCTCACAAGGCGACTCTATATCCGCACTACGATCTACCATAGCCATGCCAATTACCATACCAGAACCCGAGATGAAGCCCACGCCAGCTTCACTATCCAGCCGAGCTGCGGAATCGATGCTCCAAACCCCACCAGTGCCTGTGCCAGTCCTGAAGCATGACTTTGGGTCCGCGCTAGGCCCAACCAGCTTGCGACTAGAGGTTGCACCTGCCCCTATCGCCCCTACTCCTACTTCAAGCGCTCAAGATGCCGGGAAAGGGAAGGTTCAGGTCCAACCTGAGCCAAGTCTCGAGCTGGAAGTTGATGACACGATGGATAGTGACGTGGATGCTGATGAGCAACTTGCGAAGATTTTGGGGAGGAAACACACTTGATCTCAACTGCGTGGATACCCGATGGAGGTTTGTCAACGATGGCGTCACGGTTCCGTTATCTATTCTGATGTGGATGTATGTCAAGGATAACCTCGACTTCAGCAGAGGAGTTCGTTTTAGTCCGCTGATGCATTGTATACACTCCATGGTGGTTTTGACCACTCAGTATGGGGATAGCCTCATTTAGCACAGAAGCATGAACCCTCTGACTTGCTCTCAAGTGAATGGCATGACTCGTATAGATCGTCCGTGCGCGGATCTGATGAAAGAGGCCGACCTCGGAACCTGACAGCTTGGGGGCTTCAGCAAGCTTCGCACCAAACCTTCCCCCCACAATGGCAGATATGGCGTCACGGTTAGCATCTTTACGCACTCTTCTCCCTGAACTGGACTCAGCCCTTCAGTCCTTCACCACCTCTCCGTCCAAATTCCGCATCGTGAGGACTGTCAACCCCACCGCGACACAGCCTAAAACCCTCTACATCCTCGATTCCTCCTTCAACCCGCCCTCAACCGCACATCTCGCACTCGCAAAATCTGCGATAACACAGTGCGCTCCTTCGTACACGCGACCGCACCGTCTCCTCCTTCTTTTTAGTACACATAATGCCGATAAAGCACCTAGTGCCGCGGACTTCCCACAGCGCCTTGCGTTGATGACTATTTTCGCAGAAGACCTGTCACGGCTGCTTCATAGCTCAACAACATCTTCTCCTGCAGATAATCTCGAGTCGCCAGCGAATCTCTCCATCGATATCGGCTTAACGAAAGAACCGTACTACACCGACAAATCACTCGCCATCACATCCAGCATCCCACCACCGTACCCATCGAGTCCCGCACACGTGTATCTGGTCGGATATGACACGCTAATCCGTTTCTGCAATCCGAAATATTACCCTAACTCCCACCCTCCACTTGCCGCACTCGCGCCGTTTTTCAACGCCGGACATAAATTGTGGGTTAAGCAGCGGCCGTATGATGAGCGTGACCAGAGCTCCAAGGAGTTTGGGACAGTAGAGGAGCAGAAGTCTTTTTTGGAGGGGTTGCGGGAGGGAGAGTTAGAGGAGGAGGGTTTTGAGAGGAGGTGGGCGGATGGGATTGATATGGTGGAGGCAGGAGGGGGCATGGGGATTAGCTCGACGAGGGTGAGGAGTGCGGCGAAGGAGGGGGACTGGAAGAGTGTGGGCAGGCTATGTACGGAGGGGGTCGCGGCGTGGGTGAGGGAAGAGGGTATTTATTGGGAGGACGATAAGACGGCGAAGATAGGTTGATGCTGGGCTAATGAGGAGAATGGGATGGTTATATAATGGTACGCATCTTGACGATCTGGTAGTACACATGGCCCACTTCGGGAGCAGCCAATATCTCTGGGGGCGGGCTCTGCCGTGTCAAGGCGCATGGTAGGTTCTCTGGGGAAGTGCCCGAGCAACTTCCTCGCCGACTCGAAAAGCGCAGGTCCATATACAAAGATTGGTCTGAATACGCTGCTGAACAGAGCATCGCTGTAAGTCAAACACTTCATTTTTGAAGGGCGAGATGGGATGACTTAAGCTGTACCTGGATTGCCCCAGCGTCGGCGCCTCTTACCCCCTCCTGAGGGATGGGAAGGAATTGGCTGGATGCTTGCCTACATTGCCGTCCGTTCTTTCCTACCCACTATCAATGTTTGTCATCGGCGTCCTACCGCGGTAGCTGTCATTAACTCCTCTCCCTAACCAGGCTTCCTCCTCTCGACCCATCACAACTCATATTCCATCACTTCCGCTTCTTCGTCAACTCAATTCTTCATTGCCTGTTCTCTCGCCCTTGTTTAGTTTCTCCATCCAATCCCTACCACAGTAGTCTCCCGACTTGGCTGCAAAGGCCATGTTGGCGGACCCCCCTCCACAACAACAATGGCTAAACAACTCTGCTGCACAGCTGGCCAGCGCTCCGAGTCGTCTTCACCAGACCTCCCAGCCATACGCATAAGCGAAGTCACCCCGAAGAAGCCTCTGCTGCAGAAAGAAGCCGGTTCGTACGGCTCCCGCTTCACGAGCACCCGATCTGAAGACTTCCATGAACTGCGTCAGATCTTCGATAATGCGAAGGACGAGGACTCGACAGAGATTTCTCCTCCAAAGTACCGCTTTTCACGACCGTCGATGCATAGTCTACACAGTTTGCATAAGATCAAGAGCGTGCATGCGTTAATCAAGCGGAAGTTCTCAAAGGATATGCCGAGGATGACCCCGAATGTGCATTTGAAGGATACGGGGAAGAAGAAAGCTGAGCAGGTTGAAGAACCGGATACAGTGGTGAAGGCACCGAGAGATGCGCCGAATTTGCAGCTCAAGATTACGAAAGAGGATCTGAGGAAGGACTTGTTCAGTGACAAGAAGCCGGAGGAGGGTGGGTATGATTCGGATGCAGAGATGTTGGATGATATTGCAAGGAGGGTTGGGAAGAAGGCGCCCGGGAAGAGGACGAGTTTGCATAGTATTGAGTGGACGCCATCGCCTGGAAGGTTCGTTGATGATATTAATCTCTGGCTTGATGCTAATGTATTGATAGCAAACCCACTTCAACACGAGCGCGCAACAGCATCGACCTAGGGCGTGACAGCCATCCCTACCAGGTCAACCAACTCCAACCTGGGGGACCTACGACCCCAGCCCGGTTCACAAGTTCACCGAATCTTCGGTTTGCCGGTACGATGGAGCGAGATCGAAGACTGAGACGCTCTCATTCTGCCACTTCGACGGAGCTTCCTGCACCCTCACCACTTTCGCCTATTCGGTTACCTAGCATTCTGTCCCAGGACAGAGTTCCTTGGTCGGTTTCTATGGCTGAGAGCCTTCGTCTCTCTCAATTCCCAACTCCGCCTAGTTCTAAGCCGTCGAGGGCAACTTTGCGGCCTCAACCGTCGAAGTCAACGCTACCTGCGAAGCCGTCCAAAGCTTCCTTGGTCGCCAACAAGGCGACACAGTTCCCTAGTAAAGAGCCTAGTAAGGAATCAAAAGCATCTGATCAATCCGGAGAATCGAAAGCCTTTAATCTAGGACAAGGTCAGCCTGAACTGGACGTGCATCTTCGGCAGCCTACATCCAGTCATGAATCGAGCTCTAGCAAGGAAATAACTGCTCCACCAAACATTGACGACAATAACAACCCCCGTGACAACGAAGATGAAGATAACAATCCACGCCGCTCCGTCCATCTCTACAGCATGCGCATCTCACACCATCTGCGTTCGGGCTCCCTTCTCTCCTGGGACCAACTCGCTGATGCTGACCCCATGCCCACGCCGCCCCACCAACTCCTGAACCGCAATGCCTCCGACATAAGCCGAGCGTCTCAATTACAGCGCACTCGACACAATCGCACTTCGAGCTCTGGCTTCGCCAGCTCACGAGTCCCTGCTAAATGGGGAAAGGTTCTCAAATCTGAAGTCAACTCTGGGGTAGAACGTCAATTCTGCGATGATAAGTCTTCCGTCTATTCGAGCCGGCCACAGAGCCCGCCTGATAGCTTTGGTGGCTCGATGGGAAACTTATCGTTGAGTGTCACACATCTTGATTCGTACAAGAATACCATGACGGACCTTGTGAAAGACGCCGGTCCGGAACACTATCCCACTGATAATGAAGAAACTCCCAGGCCTACCTATCGATACGGTGTCTCGGATCCTCAGGCTGGGACCAGTATGACAGCAAATGATACCATATTGGAAACAAGCCGTCCTATTTCGCTCGCTCGTAACAACAGCGTCGCGCTTACGAAGAAGTCCAAGTTCCGCGAAGAGTTCAGCCCTTCGCCCCCACGGAAGAAAACCCCTTCATCAATATCACTTATGCGGTTTCTTCGTCCACGGAATAGCGTCCGAAGCCAAAGCGAAACAATCCTCGACGCTCGACCCAGGGTCGACGGGCCATTTGAGACTCCTCATCTGACATCGAGCCGCGAGCGTCGATTATCGCGTTCGATGATGAGTCTCCAGACCGAACAAGAAGCACTAGGAAAAGATAAAGAGGCAAGCCCCATGTGGGAACGCGCTCTAAAGTCCTACCAAGAAGAACGAAGTTCTATGTTCCTCTCTGCCAACAAAGCTCTCGCCACGCATGGAAGTCCATTTCGGGAGCGCAGCTGCAGTATATCGCGACCAAAATCCCTCGGCAGCGTACAGGATCTCGCAAAATCCTACCTGCACAAACCAATTCACGACCTCCACACCTCCCCGATCGCAGAATCAGAGTCAGAATCTCCAGGCGAATCGCCGGGTGGTTTCGGGAGGGTTATGAAGCGTAGGACTGCGATGGTGCAAGCACATTCTGGTGATATATCCCCCGGCCAAGAAACTAAAATCGCATTCGAGAATCAAGATGATACCCCTCCCACCATTGGCGCTTGGGGACGCTATCCTTCGCACACACGTCTCGAGCGCACAACCTCAGCTACCCATCTCGACGCCGTGCAAACTCGTGACTTCGCGCTCGAAGCCGCGATTCAATTTGCCATGGGCCCCAACTCTGACCCTCAGCCTAATACCAATCATGGCCCCCTTTCTAACCATGATCCTGATAACATCGACATCGACCCCATAGCTCGCCCACCAAGCCCGCCAGGTCCTCACGGCAAGAAAAGGAAGAAAAGAATCGGTAGCGCTAGTACAGGCGATAGAATGGCGAAGAGTAGGAGTATGACATTTGGGAAACAGTTTCTCAAGAATTATGCGCGGATTTTTAGAAGTCAGTCAACGGAGTTTCAGAGACATGGACATGGGCATCGGAGTAGTGTTACGGCGGGAGGGCTGTTGGAGTTTCCAGAACTGGAGATTTTGCCGGAGGTTTGGGGAAGTGGTGGTGGGGAGGGAGGGGATGAAGGAGAGGGAGCTGAGGGAGACGTTGAAGCTGAGAGAGATGTTGAAGCTGAGGGAGATGTTGAAGCTGAGGGAGGTGCTGGAGCTGCGGGAGGTGTTGGAGATAGGGAGTTTTTGATGGGGGAGATGAGGGATCGAGATATGGATTTCAATGTGAAGAAACGGAGTGCAGAGTCATCGGCTGTACTCCGTTCACGCAAACCCTCCGACGAACAGGAACAGAACGAGCGGGCAGCCATGCTCGACGGCACCACCAATGCCAACGATCGACGTTTCTCTGCCCCGCCTCCCGATCGCGCGCGCGTCTGGTCCGTGTATTATGAATCACTGATCCCGGAATTCCCGCGCGCGAGCACGGACTTTGATATCGATGTCAATGACTTTGGCCGCATACGTCCTTCCTTCGACGCTAGACACCCAGCCTCCCGTCTCCATTCTCAGACTCTTCCTGCAAGATTGCGAAGTGGTGAGGTGAGGGCGGGGAGTAGGGCGGGTGTGTATGGGATTAGCATGACTGGGACTAAGGCGTGTGCGGCAGTGGGGTTTGGGAATGGGGGTGTGGGACTGAGCCAGAACCAGAACCATAGCCAGGGTGATGGCACTGGAGACGAAGACACCGAGTCACAATCGTGCACCGAGGGAAAAAGCATGGTGAGCGTACGACGCAGTACGATGGATTTGGTCAATTTGTATAAAGAGCAGGAGAAAGTGGAACGCGAGCGTGTGTTGAGTTTGGTTCGATTTGGGAGTGTGAGGGCAGAGTGTTAGGTTTAGGGAACGTGGATGGCAGTGGGTGTAGGTGGATGGGGGTGTGATTGGTAGGGAAACAGGGAGGAGAGGTAAGCGGGATGTGTGTGCGGAGGGATAATGTAACGGAACGGGATGCGACGGAACAGGACGCGACGGGAAAGTGGTAAGGGGAAAGGAGCACTGGAGTTATCTTGTATTGATATGATCTGGAGGTTATGAGGTATGACGATATGACGGATAGGACCTAGGGTTGGAGAGGACGCGCTGCTTTCTTCATCATAGAGCGCGATCCGTTGTCTGGGTGTTGGAATTTGCCGATATCTGTTATGGTTAATAGTAAATATTCAACAATCCTCATCGTCAATCATCACCTCCAATGTTCTCTCGGGCTACCTCTACCCGACCTAAAACTAATCCGTACGGGCATGTGATTCAAATCTGCTGAATATGAAGCCATGTCATGGATTCGGTTATCAATGTAGCTATGTCAATCGACCGAGATTATCTAAAATAATGAATGCAACATCGAGTACAAGGTTAGACTAAGGTTTTGAAGGTGTTGAACTTCGTTTTATATATTTTGTTTCTCTGGTATCATATTCTATCCTATCATATCGAGACGCTGCCCTGGTCTCTCGCTCAACTCAGCTCCACTTGGGCTCAGCCCCAGAGGACCTGGCAATTCATCCTATACCTGATGAAGGCGTCTGCCCTTGGATCTCGTCTAAAATGCAAGCGGCCTGTTGAAGTTCCACAGCCGAACCATTTCGAACCGAACCTAAACTTGAAACTTTTTCAAACGCCGGGAAAACACACTTAAGTTCCACCAAAATACGCCATACAAAACCCTGCCGGTCTTGCCTGGTATAATCTGATCTGATATGAACGCCAATGTTGAAGGCGTTCGCTCACAAACCCCTCCGATATACCGCCCTCCCAAATGACCCATGATGCAGGTTGAACTTTTAATGTTGGTATCATAACACATAAGACACATTACAGACACTTAGCAGCTGTTGATATGCTGCTTGTCACTGGAAACACGTTGATGAAACGTATCCATCCAGCTCCAACTCCAGCGTTGAAAACCTTGGATGGAACTTCAATTAAGAAGCATACTTCTCGCGGTTGAAAATAGCAGCATTAACCATATTAGTTAGAGCGGCTTTGGTCTCTTTCCACTGCCTAGTCTTCAGCCCACAGTCGGGGTTGACCCAGAGCTGCTCGGGCTTGAGGTAGGCCAGCATCTCGGCGATGCGGTCTTTGATCTCCTGCTCCGAGGGGACACGCGGCGAGTGGATGTCGTAGACGCCCGGACCGATGTGGCGCGGGTATGCCTTGTCCTCGAAGACTTTCAGGAGCTTGGCGTCCGACTTGCTGTTCTCGATCGACAGGACGTCGGCGTCGAGGGCGGCGATGGCGTGGAAGAAGTCTTGGAATTCCGAGTAGCAGAAGTGGGAGTGGATCTGAGTCGAGTCTTTTACACCGGCGCAGGCTAGCTTGAATGAGTCCACGGCCCAGGAGAGGTACTTCTCTCGCTCGCTACCAGCGCGGAGAGGAAGACCTTCTCGGAGAGCAGGTTCGTCAACCTGAATGACGTAGATGCCGGCAGCTTCGAGGTCAATGACCTCGTCGCGCAGGGCAAGAGCAAGCTGCTGAGCTTGCACTGACTGGTGAACGTCGTCACGAGGGAAAGACCATCGCAAGCAGGTGATGGGTCCGGTAAGCATACCCTTCATCGGCTTGCTGGAGATGGAAGCAGCGTACTTCGACTCCTTGACGGTCATGGGGGCAGGACGGGAAATGTCACCGACAATGATCGGCGGTCGAACGCAGCGCGATCCGTATGACTGGACCCAGCCGTGTGTGGTGAAGACATAGCCTTCGAGCCTCTCGCCGAAGTATTGCACCATGTCGTTTCGCTCAGGCTCACCGTGAACATACACATCGAGCTTGAGCTCGTCCTGGATCTTGATGACGTCCTGGATCTCCTTCTCAATGAATTTCTCGTACTGCTCAGCAGTAATCTCACCCTTGGTGAACTTGTTACGCTGGATACGGATCTCCTTGGTCTGAGGGAAGGAACCAATGGTAGTGGTAGGGAACATTGGGAGACTGAGATGGGTCTTCTGCTGAGCATATCGCTCTGGGAATTGAGACTGGCGCTCGTGCATGGCGGCGGTGACGCTAGCCTGGCGGTCCTTCACAGCCTTGTTGTTGGTTCGAGAGGAGGAAGCTCGCGACTGCATGGCCTTGGCATTCGCCTCAAGTGCTTCCCGAACGGTGGCAGGGCCGTCAGTTACAGCCTTGGCGATAACGACAACCTCCGAGGTCTTCTGGACGGCGAAGGAGAACCACTCCTTGACTTCGGCATCAAGTTTCTTCTCGCTGTCTAATGAGTGAGGAGTGTGGAGGAGGGAGCTGGATGTGGCAACGATGACACGATCTTTGCCGAGTTTCTGGACGGCGGTCTCAACAGCCTCAATGGCTCGCTTGAAGTTGGTCTTCCAGATGTTTCGGCCGTCAACGACACCGGCGGAAAGAATCTGGTTGGGGCCGAGCTTGCCAATGACACTCTCGAGCTGCTCAGGGTTCCTGACAAGGTCAACGTGGATGCCGTACACGCCCTGGAGGCTGGGTAGGATATCGAAGTTGTGGACGATGTCGCCAAAGTAGGTGGCGAGGACAAGCTTGGGGAGCTTGTCACCGACGAGCTTCTCATATGCAGGCTTGAAGGCATCCTTGACCTTGGAAGGAAGATCGTAGACCAAGACTGGCTCATCGATCTGGACCGTCTCGGCACCAGCAGCTTTCAGCTTCTCGAGAAGCTCAGCATATACCGGGACGAGCTTGTCGAGAAGGGAAATAGGGTCGACTGACTGGCCACGGTCGGCCTTGCCGAGGGCAAGGAAAGAGACGGGGCCTATGAGGACTGGGCGGGTGATGATGCCAGCCTCCTTGGCCTCGAGGAACTCGACGACAGGCTTGGGGTCGGCGGCGAGCTTGAACGTCTGTCCATCCTGCAGGGTGGGCTTGACATAGTGGTAGTTGGAGTCGAACCACTTGACCATTTCCTGGTCCGAACATTAGTGGACGACTACGTGAGAGCTCGAATCGATTGTCTTACCAAGCTAGGAACGTCGACGCCACCCTTCTGGTGGCCACGGCCCATGGCAAAGTACTCATCGATGGGGTGTAGAGAGGCTTTTGAGTACCGCTCTGGGATGGCCTATTGCAGTTAGCCTGGGTTATCGGAGGGATGCCAAGTGGAGTTTGAGCTGACATTGAACATCTGGATGTGGTCGAGGATGTGGTCATAGAAAGCAAAGTCATTGCTAGGGATGATGTCGACGCCTGCGTCTTTCTGGATCTTCCAGTGCTCTAGTCGGAGTCGCTTGGCCTCCTTCAGTAGATCGTCTCTTGAGAGCTTATCGGCCCAGTATGCCTCGTTCGCCTTCTTCAGCTCACGATTGGCGCCCATGCGGGGAAAGCCGAGCACTGATGACTGGACCATGCTGGGCAGGTGTGGCGGAGGAGGGTATGTAGAGAGGGCAATTGGGGATGAAACTGGTGGGAAATATGGGAACTGGGGATGCAAGGCGAGGAAGGAGGGGTGAGAGGGGTGAGAGGAGGTGAGAGGAGGTGAGAGGATTTCTTAGTCTGGGTGGTGTGCTTTTACATGTTTTTTGTTGGTGCTGCACGCGGGGTGCGGCTCTAGCCGGATCCATTCACCGCCTTTGCTGATGCGCGAAGATCCTGGGAACCATCACCAACTGCTGCACACTGCGTCACATTAATCAGAAGAGCTTCGGTTGCCAGGCCTTCGGAACGTTTGCACACAGCAGACCCGGGCTATTTTAATTGAGCCCTGCTCTTAGTTGGCATCATAAATTGGGCAAGAGAGACTTGGACGAGCAGACACAACGGTTTTCTGGTGGCGTCTGCAGACAAGGCGAGCATCTGGCCCCCGATGTCGGAATCGGAGCGGTGGTTCGTATTGTCGGGCTTCGGGCATCAGAGGGCAGAGAGAAAGGAAGGTCAATAACCAATCTGACAGACAATTGCTGGAGCATTCAGACACGTGTCTATATCGCCCAACGATAACCCTCAGACGGCTCCTGGACTATTGTCCTCGAAACTGGTGCGCAAGTGTTTGGAGCAACAACCCATCTTCACTGGGATATCATTGATGCTTCGCATTCTTACCGAATGGGATCAAACACCTCTCCATGAAACGCCTCCCCATAAAACGCTTCTTCATAAAACGCCTCTCCATAAAACGCCTCTCCATAAAACGCCTCTCCATAATTTCCGAATTTCAAAGCCTCTCCGAAAGGGTGCGACAAAGGCCGATAGCGCCTTACTAAGCGACTCCGAGGCGTGAGGTCTTGTACCACTCCGTCAAGACGCAACACCAAACCTCCCATCGCGACGTCTCCAACGGCCTGAAGATCTCATTGCCCCCCGCTGTAGCCTGCTGTAGCTCATCATGTCTTCGCACCAATCCCCCTCCAGGTCCATATGGCGGAGAAATTGTCGGCAAAACTTGGCCCGGCGAGCTCCACCGCAGCTCCGTCATCCCACTTGAAAGGGCGACCCCGCCATCGTGTACTCGACCTGACAGAGTGCCCTGTTCTTCACCCAGAACCCGCCAATTGATCACCTAACTTGAATCCACTTGAATCCGCTCGTCATGTCGAGACCAACGCCCGCCCGGTCGGCCTCGACAAACCTCGGTGGAGGCTCTGGCTTTCGCGTGCTGGAAGGCAAGGTTGGGATTGTGACAGGCGCTTCTAGAGGTACGTCCTAGTGGTCTCTCGGAGAGTGTTCTGCACACTCTGACCCTTATTTTCCAGGCATCGGTGCCGCAATTGCCCGCAACCTCGCCAGCAAAGGATGCTCCCTCATCCTCAACTACACGTCGGACTCGTCGGCAAAGCTCACCGAAGACCTCGCTGCCGAGCTCGAAGCCGTACACGGCGTGCAAGCGGTCCCTGTTCAAGCCAATATGGGCTCTGAGAACGGGCCAAATCACATCGTCGAAGTTGCAAAAAACCACTTCCAGCACCCCAAGACGCAAAAATTCCAGCTCGACATCATAATAAACAACGCCGGCGTGGCAGGCAACAATACGATCGAGAACATTGACTGTGAGGACTTTGCGCGGCAGTACAACGTCAATGTGCGCGGCCCACTGCTTCTTGTGCAGGCAGCGCTGCCGTACCTGCCGCACGACCGCTCCGGCCGCATAGTGAACCTTTCTTCCGTGAGCTCGTCGCTAGGCTACATCAGCCAGTCCATCTACGGCGGCACGAAGGCGGCACTGGAAAGCATGACGCGAACGTGGTCTCGCGAGCTCGCCGAACGGGCAACCGTCAACGCAATAAATCCAGGGCCGGTGGCAACGGACATGTACTGGACCACCGACGAACTCTTCGTGGCACGTAACAAGCCGTTTATCGAGAACACTCCATTGGCAGCGCCGAGGAAAGGCATAGATACCGAGGAGATATATGAGCCTTCGACGAAAGCAGGAGGCCGGCCGGCATACAGTGAGGAGATTGCGGGGGTAGTGGGGATGCTGTGTATGCCTGAAGCCGGGTGGACCACGGGCAGTGTGGTTTGCGCGAATGGAGGCATGAGATTTAGCATTTAGAGTAGACTACTTGGATGTATGACGACAATGTAAAATGTTGGCATGCACGGTTGTCTTGCAATTCAAGCCATGCATGGTACTGGAACGCAGACTTGAGGTGCCATATCCGAAATCCCTAGCGGGTAGTGTTGGTGTTGGTGTTGGTGCTGGCGGGCTGGTGGGCTGACGGGCTGGCGGGGTGGCTGGGGGGGGGGGGGGAGGTACCTTGGTACATGGTTGCTGGACCCCTGCGTAGTGAAAGTCTTGGATGCAAAGTCTCTCAACAGCCTGCAAGATTGCAAATTGCCACTGATCACCACGACGACGACATCACCAAATGGAAGAAGAATTTCCCCAGACGATGCTGCTCGAAATGCTTTTCCAATTACTCTCCAGGCTCGACACAAGACTTACTAAAGATCTCAGGGATTGTCTGCCAGCCAAGATCGTGCAAGCTGCAGCTGGCAGCAGCGCGTGCTTTGCGCAACACCAACCACCCTTCCTCATAAACCCTTGCCACCACTCCTCCATCTCAAGATCACGTAACAATTTGCTCGTCGGAGAGTCTGGAGCGCATGAAACGCTTGCATGATCGACTCCAGGCCTTTCCATTCGCCGTCTGGTTATCAGGGGGCAGTGCCATCCAGACCAGCCACAGCGGAGGGTTGCCCGGACGATGGTTGTTTACGACGGGGAATGTGCCGCCCGCTATCCTTCTTCTGATTGCGCCTAGCCGAAGCTGCAGAGCCCACTGCATTCCTGCAATACCAGCAGGAGGACATCCTGGCGGTTTCATTGGGCCGTGAGCTCGATTCCTCCGCTCGTGAAAGGACAGTCCCCGGTGTTGCAGCTGGGCGTTGCGCAATCGATGGCTGGGCCTCTGTTTACAGGCCCGATACCCGCCTCACGCTCCATGCATCTGTGCGTGAACTGTCCATCTCAGATGCCCCTCTGCCCTCGAACCTCTGCTTCTTCCCGTGTTCTTCTTGAGTCACGGTAATCAACCTCGTCAGTTTGTGATACGCTGTCCCTCATCCCATCCCTCACAGCGCGGTCCATGGAGGAATCGGAACTGCTTTCGGCCTGAAGGTCCTTTCCGCTCCCCGAGACTTACGAATCCATGCATCAGTCAAACGCGCCGTCTGCTTCCGACATGAGGTCGCTCACCTTCTTGCATGTACCCCTCCTCTGCGGGTTGCTGTTCCTCAACACTGTCACTGCTCAAATGCCATTTAACCCCACCACCATACTGCAGAATGGCGCCCGTCTCTACGTCTACCGCCCCTCTCCCGGCTCATCTTCGCAGTTCGAACTCGGATCCATCGACCTGTCTTCCAAGGTCATTGCATCCGAGCTCCAGCTCACCACCCTCTTACCCACCCTGCCCTTCCTCGACACAAAGACACGTCGAGCCTTCACGCCAATACTCGACAATGGAGGAAACATGACAGTGTACACCGGAGACTGTGCCATGGGTGTAGGTGGTGCCGAAGTCTGGACCTTCACACCTCAGACGTCTGCGAAAAGCGGGAACGGCACCTGGGAGCAAGAAAGCCTGTCGTACAACAAGCAGGACATGCACTTTTCTGCAATCGGACCAAACTACCTCAACGGTGGCATGGCATTCTCTAGTCTAGTTAAGGGAGGTGCAAAAGATACAGGTGCCTACTTCTTTGGCGGGATGTGTCCCTCCCCAGACGGCAGCAGCGACTGGCAGTCCGCCGCGAACTATTCGAACCTCATGGTTACTCTCCAGCCCTCGAAGGACACGACAAAACCCTTTGGCTATCAAATCGGTGTTTCACCTAGTCGTGGACCGCCTATTGCAGAAGCCGGATTTACCTTGACTGGCCTCTCGCCAAGTTTCTCCAACAAGAGTGATGGAACTCAGACCCAACAACAAAATTTCGTGCTCGTCGGGGGCCACACTAGCAATGCATTCATCAACATGTCGCAGGTTGCACTATTCTCTCTTCCAGAGCAAGGTTGGACCTTTCTCCCCGTCTCCCAGCCCGACACCCAGAGGACGGATCTCGCCATACACACTGACGTCAACGAAATCGAGCCTAGATCTGGTCATACTGCAGTACTCACCCAGGATGGGCAGCGAATCGTTCTCTTTGGAGGCTGGATTGGAGATGTTGATACGCCTGCCAACCCTCAATTAGCAATTCTCAACGTTGGCCAAGGCTTTGGGGGACAAGGGAATTGGGAATGGACCGTGCCAGCTACTTCCGGACCGGGATTAACTAAAAACTCGGGAATCTACGGCCATGGTGCAGTCATGCTTCCTGGTGGAGTTATGATGGTCATGGGCGGATACTCGATATCGGCACCCAGCTCCCGCTGGCGACGAGCTGGAAAAACTGCTTACACGAAGACGCTGTTCTTCAATGTTACTTCAAACACCTGGATATCTGAGTACTCTCCACCCCCCCAGACGGCTACCTCCGCCCCTGCGCAAATTGGACCCCTTGCAAAGACTTCTCAAAAGGTAGGACTCGGTGCAGGCCTTGGTATTGGGATGGCCGCCGTTCTTGGCTTGATGGTGTTCTACATATGGTACACGAGACGACTAAAGAAGCAACGAGACTTCCGAGAGAAGCAGTTACGAGACCTTGCTATGGGAGCCCACCGTTACAACATTGAGTGTCTAACGCCTGGAGTGGATGGCCGAGGCGGTCATATAGACGCTGTGGAATATTTCGACGACGCGAACGATTTCTATCCAACAGCCGACTGTCAGCAAAACCAAGGATGGCGACGATCTAACGGCCACGATGCGGAAAGAACAGGTCTGTTGGTGGAGATTCCAAGTCCCACACGAGGACTCAGGAGGAGTCTTGGCAGTAGAGCAAGCCACCATCTCAATGGGCGCGGTGGGGCGTCAGTTCGCGGTTCTGGACACATTCATCCGATTGATGAACTAGAAGAAGAGGAGCAGGTGCATGAAAAAGAGCAGACAGTTGACAAAACGCCGCTTGCATCGCAACCTGAAATGTTAGAGCGTTCAGCTAACCGTGGAGTGTCCATCTTCGATAGCGCCCCGGTGCTCGATCCTTTTACAAATAGCCATCGCGCAAGTGGGTTGAGCACCAAGCAGAGGAAATCTGTCACTCATTCGGCGCCAGCGTCTCCTACATGCGATGGGGCTGAGGAAGGAAACCATGACTGGGAGATTGTGCATCCAGGACGCTCAAGCCCGACATCGAATGGTCGAGTGTCACCAACGAAATCCGATCGCACAGAGTCCAATCTCAGTGAACGTAGCATGCGATCAAACCTATCCTCCAACTCCACTAACGGCAGCGTTCGACGCAGCGTTTCTGTACGCTCGACAGCCATCCTCAACAATGCCTTCCATGTTAACCCTTTCAAAACCCCAGAAGGCAGCCCAACAAGAGACATACACCACAGACATAGCGGCGGCGGCGGAGGAGGAGGAGGATGGCAAAGTCCGACAGATCCCCGCACGCAATCCTTCACCAGCATTCGCAGCAGCGGCCGTCCTAACGTCGTAAACGCGGACACCGACTCCTTCATGACCGCTCGAACATCTTTCATGCAGCTCCAAGCAGAAGGCGAAGCCCTCCTCGGCGGAAATCCCGAACGCGAGCGAGCCCGTCCCGACACAGCGTCCACGTCCAATGGTTCCAGCACACATACGTACCGCGACACGGAAGGGAGTGGGACAATGAGTCGCGCCGGAACAATCACCGCGATGACATCAGTTACAGACGCTTCCACCCGACCTCGAGAACGTAGGAAGAGCTGGCTTGGGAGCGTCCGACGCGCACTATCGAGATCCACGACTGCGATGGATACGCGAACGCGATCGCTCACAACTTCAACACCGCAACTGGAATCGTATACGGATAACCCGCCGTCGCCAACCGCCCCGGCCTCGAAGCGTAAATCGTTTCCAGTATCTAGTCCGCCTAGACGCGCAGCTTCGGACGCTGGCTTCTGGACTGGCAAGCGCGGGAAACAGGATTGGCTGGACGATGAGTTGGATCCGAATGACCCTCGCGCTCGATGGCGGCGTACGAGTGGGGACAACTGGGGTGCGCCTGAGGATGTGGCGTTTGCAGAAAAGGAAAGGAAGAGGGCGGAGTGGAGACAGCGTGGAAACCTCATCAGTTTAGGGGACGAGGATCACATACATCTGCCTTCTCCCCACCCATCAAACCTCCCACCGGGGGATTTTCTGAGCGGGAGGGGAGGAGAGGACGAAAGACCGAGCACCCCCGCCGATGAAGAAGACTGGGACGTTGAAGCTGCGGTTGAGAGGAGGGTTGTGCAGGTCATGTTCACAGTCCCTAAAACTCGGCTCCGCGTCGTAAACGCTGATGTGGATGGGAGTTCAATTCTTTCCCTTCCGCGAGAAGATAGAGATAAGGACAAGAGTGACGGTAAAGGTGACGCGAGTATGAGCCCGAGTAACAGTCCAAGTCGTGTCAAAGACCTCGTTGGGAGGTTCGAGCAGCAAGGGCCACCAAGGATGTCTCCTAGACCCTCGCCGAGTCCATCGGTGAGGTCGTTTAAAGTTCGCGGGAAGGGGAAGGAGAGAGAGGGGGCGACAGATACAGAGGCTGAGGAGAGGTAGATGAGATGGGAGAAGTTGGGCTTATATATTCCGCTTCTATGTTACTGTTCGGATGTTCAAATTTGGCGATTTTAAGGGGTTTATGATTGGACGATCGCTTCTTTAATTTACGCACAGTGCTTGATGTGTCGAATTGGATCTGGATTGGCTTATTTAGCTTGTGTATAGTTGGCGTTTTCAGGTGTTGGAGATGGATGGTTACTTGGATACCTTGTCCTGTCTTGCTTTCTGTACATGAGCTTTTTGGTGTGTGGTGAGAGCCGAGAGAGTTCATAGATCTGTAAATTCGAATACTTGAATAGATACACGAAACCAACTGACATTGTCTTTCATCAATTGATGTCGAGGACACCACGGATCAGGTATAGATCTCGGATCATGACGAAGCTTGCCCCGATAGAGCTAGCGTGATCGGACTTCAACCGACCTCAACCTCGACCTCGACCTCTTCCTCTTATCGCCTTCCTCACCACATGAACAAAACGGGCAGAGTAGGGGGTTTAGAGAGCTTGAGATGCCGGCCCCGATGCCAACATGCTCGTACAAAACAGTGATGAAGGCACGCCGATCCCCCGCTATTATATTGCTCTAATAAAAATATCGAGTACTCTTGGCTGCTGACTATCTACTACACTTTAGGATTATTCTCCTTCATAATATGTTATCTTGACAGGGTTCCACAGTCCAGCCTACCGGACACACGGATCCGGCAACCGGCATGTTTAAAGGGAAATCCGGCAAAATGGCTGGGAGGCCGAATAACGAAGTGGATCATTCTTAGAGGCCACAAATGGCTATCTACGATATTGTGAATATAGTTATGTGGGCCAGAACTTGATTAACTTAATACAGGCATAGTAAACAACCCTGTTCTCCCTGAACTCGCGCACTCATTCGCTTTCAAATAGCAACCACACACGCCCCTGTATCCATACCTACATTTTCCTTTCACAAAGCCTCATCCATATCACATGTGCTTGTGAGACTGGTTGATAGTCGGTCGTCTTCATGATGTTTTGGTCCTGTCTCCTGGCGCTTTCGGTTCTTGTAGGCCACGCAGCCACGCAAAGTGGTGTTGATCTAGATGAACCGATGTTGAGAGGTGGAGGGAGGAGAGGCCCAGGGGCCATGCTGCGATTCGGCTGCTCCCAGGTGTGTAGTCGCGGTGTATCTGTAACTATGAGCTCTGTATCTAAACTTTCAGGTCGTCATCGAGCGTCTCGACCCGTGCGTTAGCCGAGTCACCCTTGAGAGGTGAAAGAAAGTGAACTGACGGTGTTAGCCTTGTAAACCCTGATATGAGCCCGTCTTCGCACATGCACCAGGTGGTTGGAGGGGTATGTGCACTCAACGAGACGTTCTCTTCCTCCCCTCATCGATTAATGTCTGGACCAGAACGCGTTTAATGCTTCGATGCCGGTGACGGATATCGCCAAACTTGCTTCGTGCACTACATGCCACTTCGATCAGGACTTCTCTAATTACTGGACGGCGAATCTCTACTTCAGGGCCCGGAACGGCACCTACAAACGCGTCCCGCAGATGGCAAACCAATTCAACGATGGCGACAACGCTGGAATTACCATATACTACACTTCGCCGAACCGGAATGCAACGACCGCCTTCAAGCCGGTAGGTCTGCCCCCATAAAGCTTATTCCTTTACTTACCTAGGTTTATTATTGTTCCAGGGCTTCCGCATGCTTACCGGCGACGCGATGAGACGCACGTCTGAGAATTTGGGGAAGAACATGCAGCAGTGTTATCGCTGCTTCTCGGAGCCCAATTTTGGTGGCAGCATGTATCCTCCATGTCTCGACCCCAAGTGGGATACCGACTATTTCCCCAAGCAACCATGCCTTGGAGGTATCCGGTCTAACATCATCTTCCCATTGTAAGCCACTAAGCTAGCCAGCGGAGTTTTGACGCAGAAGCTAGGATCTGATGATACCGCAGGTGCTGGGACGGAAAGAACCTCGATAGCCCGAGCCACCGCGATCACGTCACTCACCCGACTGGCGGGCCACCCTCTTTCTCTGTCGTCAACGGCACGTGTCCCGCCAGTCATCCCGTGAAAATCCCGCAGGTCATGTTAGAGGTATGTATTGCCTAGAGTACCCATCACCCATCCTGTACGAGAGAGGAACTTATATCAATGCACGCGTAGGTTATGTGGAATACCACCGCTTTCAATAACAAGGACGACTGGCCGAAGGATGGTAGCCAGCCATTCGTTCTCTCAACTGGAGACAAGTTAGCCATCCCAAATCTCTAGATAATAGAAGCTCGGTTATATCTAACAAGTGCAAGGACTGGTTTCGGCCAGCACGGCGACTACGTCTTTGGCTGGAAGGATGATACGCTCCAGACCGCTATGGACAGTGGTTGCTACCTCCGCAACTGCACGCAGCTTACGTCGCAGACGCCCAAGGTCAAGAACCAGTGTAACGTTCCAGTCACTGTTAACGAGAATATTGATGGATGTGAGTCCACCTACTGTTTGTCATAGCATTGGCCTCTCTAGACTAACAGGTTTGATAGGGATGAATGAGCTTCCGGGAGGCGATTGGGCTTGACATAAACATAGTAATACTGATAATAGCTTTAGAAGAGTATTTCGGACCCGAAATAAATAGACTTATCCGTCTTTGCTATAGTGTCAACAATCCCAAGTGAAAATACAGCGTATTCGAGGGCACGATATTTAACTCGACATGGACGTAGTTATGTACGGAATCAATACAATGCTCCGCTTTCATACGTACACCCCGACACTAGCTGCTCCTCATAATTTCCATGATGGACAGAAACCTGGGACTAGAACCATTGAGAACAGCCGTTCATGCCGTATTTAACGATTATATCAGCTATAGATGACTTGAGGATTCCTGGCATATCCAGGGCTTCCAACGAGGCGTAGTACTGTACGATTGGGCGATTTTGAGGCCTGTACGGGTGAGATTTTGTGTACGTTCGTACGACAGGGAGGAGGAGAGGTAGGTGTACGTATCGTAACTGTTACAGCTCACGTGATCTGTACAAGTAGTACAATTTAATTAAAGTACGCTGTACTCTAGTTAAAACAGCTAAGACTATAGGTCTCTAGAGACGCAAGATTAAGGTCTAATTAACTAGTTCTCCCTAGTAACAAGAGCAGATAGGACTAGATAAGGCCTATAAGGCTGCAAGAGGCGTAGATAGATAACTCTGCAATAGAAAATAGTCTATAATAGGCATTTTTCAGACAACAGACAGATAGATAGATTAAAACCCTTAGAAAGAGATTTAAGCGTCTACAGGCCTCCTGCTCGCTAGAGCCCTTATACCCCTCCAGAACCCCTATACAAACTTCCTAAAAGGGTAATATAATCTGTACTACGTACTGTACCTAGGGCATCATTAAACGTACAGTACAGCTCACAAACTCAGTACGTTCGTACTGAACACGTGACCGTTACGGTTCACTTTGTACGGACTGTAGTACGGCCCGTTGGAAGCCCTGGGCATATCCACCAGCATGAAAATTAGAACTAGAACGGTGCTGTAGGATCCTCCTGTTTTGGTTACAGGCTTGGTTAGAAGTTCGGGTCGCCTTGCACACTGTGCCACCTCTATCGCGTGGCAGGCAGAGGGCCGGGGTAGGCGGACTAGGTGGCGAGAGCTAGACTAGGTGAGTTTAGCGATAGTGTAAGGTCTAAGGCGCGTGACGCCTGAGGGGTGAATAAAAGTGCAGAGATAGGGGTTAGTCCTAATAGGCGACTAGAGCGGCCAAGGGATTCGGCATCACGTGCGATAGAAGAGTACGCGAATCTGGGTTGGCAGAGTTACGCAGCGGATCCTAGGATGGCGAGATTTTGTCAAGGTTCGTCCACCAAGCCTCCCAACGATTCTTCGAAACTCGTGGTTTACAGTGCTTGTACGCTCGCCGCTGGCACGGGGGACTGATGTCATGTCTTTGCTTGGAATTTATACTCTAACGATCCATGATACGAGTCTTAAGCCTGCCTGCGATTCAGTGGAAAAGTGTTGTGTTGATGGGGAACCTCTAGGGGCAGCCGTATTATGTAGAGGGGTACCGGCACTAGTAGATAGTCAGTACATTAAACATGCATGACTCCTTCCCTTTCCAATGTCTTCTTTCGCATACCATTGCCAACAGAGCACGTCACAACTCAGCAGAAAACATGTACCGATGATTCGAAGATAGATCGTAGAGGCTTCCTCAGAGTTCCACTCTCGTTACATGTGGTTGAGGTGTATAGAGTGTAATTGATCGGGTCTTGATCTGAGGGTGGGAGAGGATCTCCAAGTTCTTTAAAGTGTCTAGAATTGATATGTCAGGTATTCTTAGATTATTGCATTCTGCAAAAAATTCACATGGTCATTGGGGCATGAAAGAGGTAGCTAGAATACTAAACTTGTCGTTAGCTTAGCTGCTATCAGATAGGAGGAAAATTCACCTTCAGCAGATTTCCCAACAAGCAAGTATCACGGTTATGTTACAACTATCCAACCCCTGAGTACCCTGGGCTTGTCACGGGGTATATAGGCTCCTCGGCTTCTGTACCTCTGCCTCCAACTCTAAGTTTTACTCTCTCTCTCTCTCGTTACACCCCCTATCCTGCATTCCCTCTCTGTGCCTTTTGCTTCCTGCTTGATACCTCTCACAACAAGTTTGTGGCGTTTTTAAGGTCCAACTTGACTTGATTGATTACTTACTTAGGTTAGTGACCTTCCTATATAGGTTTAACGCGTTTTAAACAGGAATAGCGCTTCTCTCTGATAGTAAACTTGACTTGCTTGTTGACATGTCTGACCTTCAGGCTGTAGGCAATTTCTAGCATTAAATAGTTGCTAAGTCCTGTGATCTCCAAACCTCAGGCGAATCTGTATATTATCAGCTCAACAATTGACCTTCTACATTTATTTTTCTAATGAGAGCATGTGTTGACCAGCATGCTGGCTTGGAGTACTGAAGACTCTCAGCCTAGCCCAAGAGACATCCGAAGATAAGTAACATATAACGAACTGCGGTATCTCAACTTATACAGGTCTCTCTACATCATTCAATCAAACTGAAACCATTTACATCACTTTGCTCCTGCTCCTGCTCTTGAAGAAATGGGCGAATACACATCTGCCCAATTCTCGACTGATGATGGCTGCGCAAGATATCTGCGCGAGAAAAAGATTTCCCACAACCCCAACCATCCCCATTCCGTAGCCGGCCACGGCAGCAGCGTTCCCAACCGTACGTACTACGACTCGTAGATACGTGAACGTAGCAGTCACGTGAGCCGTTGAAACGTAGGAGGAGTGTGAGCCGTAACGTACGTAGGAGCCAGCTCCCATTACGGACCGTAATACGTCTTAGAGAGACAATATTTCCTAGTAATATAAGGTCTTATTAGACAGCTATAGGGACACGTTAGGAGGGTGTTTAAAGTTGTGTTTTTAGAGTAACAATTAGGTAAAAACTCTACAGTTTGTACAACAATTAAAGAGCTAGCAGAGAAAGGGATTAAGGCGTAAAATCCTATAATTTTAGTTAACTTTTTGCCCTTAATATTGTTCTTAAATTATAATTGCCTACAGACTTACTTATTATAAGCTAGATGTTCTAGTTCCTCTAGCGTAGCAGGTGTACAGCCTTATCCTAAGGATTTTTTTAAGCTAGCTTTTCCTACTAAACTAGAGTTACTTATTACGCTAGTTCTTATTAACTTGCCTAATTAAGGTCTTTATTATTAGAGTTCTTAGTCTTTTTTTATAATAGCACGCTATCTAATAGTCTCTTAGCCCTTATAAAGAAGTACCTAGATAACCTTGCTTTTAATAATAAAGTATTATTTACTATTAAGTAGAACAACATCTAGATAAGAAACAAAAAGTTAAAGCTAAAAAAGCTTAAATACTAAGTAAAGCATAAAAGCTAATTATATAGTAATTATTAGTTATCCTAAATATAGCTTTATAAAGCTAATTTAGTGTATAATAACAAAAGAGACGCCTCTAGGATAAAGTTGTAGCTCTATAAGAAGTGCTACGCTAAGAGTAATTATAAAAAGGTAAAAAAAGTTAACAGTTATACTTATATTATCTACTACCTTAAAAAAAAGCACTAGATAGATATTAGTAGAAGAAGTAAAGGCGCTCTTTTACTTAATAAGCTAAGAATCTCTTTAAGTTTATTTAAAGCAGCTTATAAGGTTACAGGCTTATTATATATTATTTTTTATAATGTTTAGCAAGAGGAAGCTTTATAAGTAGTAGTTATTAACTAGGTAATACTTTATAATATTTCTTTTTATATAGCATTATTAGTAGAACTTTAGAGTATTATTACCTAAAACAAAGCTAATCTTCTTGCTGCCCTTCTAGCGTCTAACACTACATATTTATCCTATATGTAGCAGGGATATACACAGCAGAAGTAGGAGATTTAAATAATGCTAAAAATAGCCTAAAGTAAAATTATGTTAAGTGTTAATATATAAACTTCTCTAAACTACCTCTTCTTCTTAAGTGTAGTGTTACACTTTATTAGTAAGTGTACCTTAGCTTATTAGTTTAGCGTCTTAGCATCTTTTATTAAACTAAACACTAACTAATAATACTGTGTAAATGTTAACTACTAACACTGTAACATCTTAATTAGCTTTTATAACCTGTACAGTAACTATACTAGAGTAAATTAAGTGCTAAAAATTATTAAAGTTATTAATAACTTTAAAATTATGTTAAAATTTTATTATTTAGTAGCTAATAATATGTTAAATAATAATAATAAGACTATCTTTACTCTTACCTAACATCTTAATATGCCCTTTACCTCTAAGCACTGTATACGCTGCGCTAGCTATATAATTTAGCTAGTAGTAAAAGCAGTTATCTATAGTAAAAAAATAAGCGCTTTTAAAGCAGAGCTTACTTAAGCAGCTTCTTAGAAATAATTTAACCTTTATTACTGCTATAAAGTTGTTAGAAAACTTTATAATTTTATAAACATAGTGTTAGCATTATATAAATAATAGAAGGCCTTTATAACTTTTTAAGCTACTCTTAATAACAACAACTTTTTCTAGAGCTTTAGGACGCTTAATCTTATATAAGACAGCAGTGTACACTAGCACAGTGTTTATCTTATGCTCCTCTGCTGTTTTAAGCTTAAGGACACTATTACTAAGTTTATACATAAGTAAAGAAGCACTAATAATAACTTTATAAACTCTACTATCTCTAGTAACTCTGCTCTTACTAAGGTTATTACTAAAGATAAATAAAAAAAAGTTAATTACTTTTATAAGTTTCTTAAAGTTTTTTACTTTATAATAAAACACTTTAAAGGCAATAGCTTCTATAGCTCTTTTTAGATGTTTATTATTAACTTATAACACTTTTATACTGTCACGGTATCCTCCCTGGATCCCAGACATAACTGTATTAGACGCGTACTAGAGTATTATTAGTGCACGTCTAACACAAACACAACACAACACAGACATAAACTTAAGCATAAACTGCTTTAACACTAACTAAACTTAGAACAGGTTTAATTTATACTTAAAGTGCTTAGACTTCTAAGCTAAGTATTTAATTACTAATTTTCTTCTAAACTTTTTTATTTCTTACATAACATCTTGTACCTACTATAATACCTTATGTAGTAATTAAACTAGACCTCTGTAAAGCTCTATAACCTTACTTGTGCATAATTATAACATTATGTTATGTTAAAACTTTAGCTAAGAATAGCCTCTAAATTTAATCTAATAAGCTTAGTACTTGTATAACTCTAAGCTATTAAAGTAAGCTAAGAAGCCTTTTAAAAAGCACTTACTTTATAAAAAAGCTGCTATGTTGTAAGCTTTAAAGCTTTTTAAAAAAACTTTAAAAAACAGCTTTATATTATTAAGTAGT